GATCCACTCACTCGTCCTACCCTGGATCCCGTGCGCCTCCAGTTTAACCCGCAACCTCTTGTGAGGAACGGTATCGAAAGCTTTCGCGAAATCTAAATAGACGATGTCCACGGGATTCCCTTTATCCCTCTCTTCCGTCGCCCAGTCGTAGAATTCGAGCAAATTGGTGAGACAATTTCGACGCCTCCTAAAGCCGTGTTGAGAGTCCCGAATGAGCGCGTTTCCTTCGAGGAAATCCAAGAGATGGTCCCTTAGTATGCTCTCCATGATCTTCCCTGGGATACTCGTGAGACTTACCGGCCTGTAATTTCCTGGATTACTCTTTTCGCCCTTCTTAAAGATCGGTACGACGTTTGCGCGTCTCCAGTCCTTAGGTACTTCCCCGCGCGAGAAGCTGCTATCGAATATAATTCTTAGCGGAACCGATATTTCTCTCGCGGTTTCCTTAATGACTCTCGCAGGAATCCCATCGGGGCCGGTCGCCTTGCCCACCTTCAGCTTCCCTATCATATTCTCGATCATCTCCTCGGTGATGGAAATATCCTCGATGCGAGCGGAGGTCACCTCCTCCAAAGTCGGTGCCGAGTCGGATTCGACAGTGAAAACGGAAGCGAACAACTCGTTAAGTATACTGGCCATATCCTTATCGCTTGCAATCAACTCCAATCAAGGGTCAATCAAATCAAGGGTGACCAGATCGTCCCGGTAAAACCGGGACAGGCCATTTTCTCTGGAACAGCCCCTAGTTTTGAGGCACTGCCCTGCTCGGAAAACTATCCAGTGATTTTTCCTTTCAGTGCCACTCACTTGTAGCAAGCGGCTCATCGGCCTATTGTCAACCGTAAACGGTGGGAAAATGTCTCGGATTTTCCTTTTAAAAAAATTTGGTCACCCTACCATATATATATCACTTTCTTTGATCCAGAGATTCAAGGTTGTTTAGTGGTATCAAGAGGCGGTAACAACCATTGGGATACTGCGTGTCGAGGTCGAGCGTTCCTTATTTTTTGGGTACGCCTACTCCCCTTAAATCTAAATATCTTTGTATTTTTGTGAGTTTGCGATTTTTTTTGCATATCCTAGTTGCTTATTGCCTAGTCCCTTAAGTCAACATTGCCCCCCTTCTTGCTTGTCCATAAAAGTATCTAGTTTCTTCTTTAAAATAGTCACGGAAGGGGCAGCCACTACGTCGTCGTCTAACGCATTCCACGCATTTACCACTCTACAAGTAAAAAAGTCTTGTCTTAACCTGAGCCGCACCTGCGGTTTACGCAACTTGAGTTGATTACCTCTCGTTCTCTTGCTGCCGTCGAACTGGAAGAACCTACCACACTCGACTCGACTATTCTTTTAATTATCTTGAAAGCCTGGATGAGATCGCCCCTCCTTAACCTTCGCTCGAGCGAATACAGTCCCAGCACTTCTAAACGCTTCTCGTACGGAAGTCCCCTAACCTCCTTTATTATTCTTGTGGCCCTCCTCTGTCCCCCCCTCGAGCGCCAAAAATATTCCATTATTTCAACTGGGGTCATACCAGTGCCGCATACAACGGAAGAATAACGCGTGAGTTCCTACTTGCAACCGAACGACGAATGAAACCTAGCATCCTGTTACATTTGGCCACTGTCGCTTGCGCGTGTGAGGAAAACTTGAGGTCTTCGTCGACGGAAACTCCTAGATCTTTCTCTCCGTTTGCCTCCCCCAATTTATCCTCGCCGAACGCGTCAGAGACCTATCGTTATTTTGACCGACGTGGAGAACTTTACATTTGCGACCGGACAAACGAACCATTGGACATGCGCAGCTTTCCGCCTTGGTCGGGGTGCCCGTCTTCCGCGAAAACATCCACTTCCACTCCAACTCTGGCGGCTGACGGATCCATACAATGTACCTGTACAATGAAGGAGAGCAGCTGCTCCCAGCCGCGTAGACAGGGTTGCTTGGCGTACGCGTGAAATGCGCATCTGGCATCCTACACATACTCTCCCATCTCCACTCGATGCGGACGCGCGAACCATCGAGAACATGTCTAGTTGTCCAGGCCTTTTCAAGTAGGCCTATGCCAAACCAATGACAGCTATTATTGAGTTGCATTCCTGGCACACGTTTGACGGCAGCTTCTGTCTCATCCTCTGCCTGCACATCAGTCTCTTCCGTCGCTTCGCTCTCGTGGTCATCTTCAAGGCTCATTTCGTCGCCTGTTGTCGCATTAGCATTATCGTCTTCCAACTTTTCATTGTCTACAATGCTTTATTTAATGTAATTGCCAGCGACAGTCAAGCTCTTCCTGCAATATCCAAGGAAACAGTAACAGAAATAAAATTGTTATAAATAAGTTGCTTTTGATTCTAATTTTAAAATCAATACTGATATAAGTGTGTTTTACCGGCTCCTTCGCTACATGATATTTGAAGGGAATACTCACAGTTGGGTGTCAATGAAGGGGAAAAACTACAGAGAAAAAGTAATAATTAGATACAATTGTCAATAATTTTGCATGCGTTCATCTTACCAATATTTTGAATTAATTTGAAAATTAGGTTGCATGAAACACCGAGAAAACCACCTACGTTAGCAAGGCTTACTGTAACTGGTGCACAATCAAGCACTGCATGCAGGCTTCACCACAGGGAATCGATATTAGTCAATACTGAGGGACGAGAGAGGATTTGTCCGAGTATCCAAATGCTGAGTATTTTAAAATCAACGTGGCTTTGTTGTGCTTGGCTGAATGGTGCAGCTAAACAGCTGTCAGTGGGAGCCGGCAAGAGTGGAGAGCCGTTGCAAAACGTTATGTGTAACATGTAATGAGAGTCCAATGGACTCCCCTTGCCCGGATAAGGGTTAAATGAGATTTGAAGCTTGAAAAAAATTGAGCCTCTCACTCATGCACGTTGCTGCAGGGCTGGTGGAGTGGTATATTCCAAAGGGTGGGATGTTCCTCTGGATGAAAGTGCCTCAGTTGAAGGATACATATGAGATGATCATGGAAAGAGGACTGGCGCACGGTATCGTTCTCGTCCCTGGACGTCCCTTCTGTCCCGGGGGACAGAATCACCCGTCGCAGTATCTCCGAGCCTCCTTCTCCCTTGCCACAAAGGATGAGATGGACCAGGTATGCCTATGTGTCCTGGTCACTGTTTTCTCTGTTGTCAGACATTTTTGGAGGAGTTTCACAGGACCAGAACTGGTTGATGTTTCTAAAACCCTGCCCTGTGTGTCTACGGATACGTCAGTTTGTACTTCCTTTGTTGTTCAATTCCAGCTGAAAAAAAAGTATTGTTTTGCTTGCAGTTTAACTTAGGATTATGATTTGCCAAGGTGGATCAAGGTAGTTAATGATATCAAGAGGCGATAACACCCATTTCGATATCACGTGTCGAGGTCGAGCGTTCCTTAATTTTAGGGTAGG